TCGCACGCGCCCGAGTTTTGCGGATTGATGATGAAGTCCTCCTTTTGTTTCGTGCCGTGCCTGCATCCGAGCGCAATTTTCCGCTTCCGTCATGCATCCCCAACGCATCATGCGATACGTGTAGACGTAAAAAGTGCGCGGCACACGCGCCCCACTGACAACTGCAGTTCTTTTTTAGAAAATGTTTTTGCTTCTTTTCCAACCTCATTCCGATAGCGCTTTTGCTAATCACGCTTGTCGCCAATCGTGTCTTTTTTCACACGAAGATAATCACCGCTTTCAGCGCTCGGGACCAATCCCGCCGTGCAAACATGCGCCGCTCCGCTACTCACTTCGTCTTTGGGTTTTATTTTTATTGGCCTGGATCAACTTTTAAAAAGACTTCTCATGCAGAGTGACTGTCGCCTCCCCGGGGTCCCCATATTGTAGGTGGATTGCAGCCAGCTCCTTGTCGCTCTCACGGTAAAGCTCGCGCTCGTTGTATCTCGCTTCCTCTCTCTACGCAATCTTTTGCTGCTGCTGTTGTGCGCCGTGGTGGCAGATCCCGCACCATAAAATCCCGACTCGCGCGCGTGCGGCAAGTTTTGAGGATCGCAAGTTTTGATGCCGTAATACTCTAAAGCGCCCCCCCCCCCCCCCCTAGTGCCGTACCGTCGTGTATAACCCTTATAACCCTTTTCACAGTACTGCTGTATATAAGAGCGAGAAGGGAAATGGTTAGGGGGGGGGGTAGAAATATGAGAGGGATTGCTTGGGCTGCGCTAACACAGGTAACGCCTGTTGAGGGCGCGGGGGGCCGCGAGGCGCCGGCACGTCACCGCTCAGCCGCCAATGCGTTTAAGCTGGGGCTGTGCGGGGGCAGCTCGCAGTGCAGGGCGGCCGGATACCTTAGGAATGGGCCGCCGTTGTGGCCCCACAGACGGTAGGCGGTGAAGCCCAGCCCGCCCAGCCCCAGGGCCGGGTGCCCCGGCGGCAGGCTGGCCAGGATGCCTGGCGCCGACACCGGCGGCTGCTC